GTTGGCATTATGGGCATGCACCACCATGCCTACTATCTCCCTTGAGGAACCTGTGTCTGTACCTGGGTATGTCTTACATGCTGTAACTCTTCTTTGAGAAGCCCAGACTCATGTTCTTGGTCTTTCCTTCTGAGCATCTTTCTCCATCTTAACCCTCATGCTTAAATGAAGGTAATAGTAAAATACCTTGGGCCTGATGCTCATGACAGAAGGAAAGAACCAATTCCCCAAAGATGTCTCTGACCTCCACATATGCACCACGCCATGCATGTACATGCAAACACAGACACACAAGTAAAAACATGAAATTAAAAAAAAACATTTTACATTGTATTAAGCCAAGTGTGGTGGTGCATTCCTTCAATGTCAGCATTCAAAGGGCAGAGGCAGGCGGATCTCTGATTCAAGGCCAGCCTGTTTTACATAGTGAGTTCTAGGACAGCCAGTGCTATAGAGAAAGACGGTCTCATAAACTAACACATTTTAAATCAAACTTAACTCTGTTTCACAAAGAATGGTGCCATTTTAAGATGTTCCAATTGAAATAAAATGTTAAAGCATGCAGAGGGGAATAGACTAGTTACCCATGAGGAAATGGGAACAGAACTGACAACAATCAATGCAACAAGACAACATCTTTATGGTTCTTTAAAAAAAAGATTTATTTTATTTTTTAATTATGTGTATGTGTCTCTGTCTGGGTATTTACACATGAGTGTACCAGCCCCCCGAGGCCAGAAGAGAGCATCAGACACCTGACAGTTGTGAGCAGCCCAATGTGGGTGTTAGAAACTGAACCCGAGTAAGTGCTCTTAACCCCAGAGGCAATTCTCTGGGCCCTATAACTTAAAAGTTCTTAGGGAAATTATTTTGATCATAGAATTCTCTACCTAGCTTCTCTAGCACTCTACCTTGAAGGTAAAATGAAGCTGGGCAGTGGTGGTGCACGCCTTTAATCCCAGCACTTGGGAGGCAGAGGCAGGTGGATTTCTGAGTTCGAGGCCAGCCTGGTCTACAGAGTGAGTTCCAGGACAACCAGAACTACACAGAGAAACCCCTGTCTCGAAAAACCAAAAAAAAAAAAAGAAAGAAAGTAAAATAAAAATGTTCTCAGTTGTTCAGTATCTTTAAGGTGCTTTTTTGAGGCTTTAACAATTATAAAATTACTCAGTGCCTAGATGTGTACACTATGTTTGAAAGTGTTATTGAAGATGTATTAGGATAACATATGACTAAAGCAAGCAGGAAAAACACAGGAAACAGTTCTAGTAAGATGAATAAAGGCACTCGCTGCTAAGCCTCATAATCCCAATTTCGGACACAGGAGAAGGAGAGAACTGACTCCAAGTTGGTCTCTGACCTCCACAAGGCTGTTGTGGCAGGTACACACTTCCTAACACATGATAAACAAACAAATACGCGTAGAAAATTAAAATACATTAAGCCCACAAGATGGCCAAGCATGAGACCCTGAGTTTGATCCCTAGGACCTACAAATCTAATATTGCTTTGGCTGGATGCAGAGTTAGAGATATGAGAGAGACACTACTGCTGTAGATCCCTAAAAGAAAGTAGCAGGAAGGATGACCTCCCCCTGTAGCGGTACTGCCTGTACTCATGACCTGTGACAGAGGCCCAGCTGAAAACATCACTTCTTTTTGTTTGTTTGTTTGTTTGTTTGTTTGTTTTTCAAGACAGGGTTTCTCTGTGTAGCCCTGGCTGTCCTGGAACTCACTCTGTAGACCAGGCTGGCCTCGAACTCAGAAATCCGCCTGTCTCTGCCTCCCAAGTGCTGGGATTAAAGGCGTGCACCACTACCGCCCGACAAAACATCACTTCTAAGGACCATTGAATACTGGTTTGGAAAAGGGTTACTGGACAGACAAAAGTAGGACTTTACTGAGTACTGTATTAGTTACTTTTCTTATTGCTGCAATAGAATACGTAATGAAAACAACTTAAGGAAGGGTGGGTTTATTTTTGGCTCACGGCACAGTCAGTCTTGGTGGGGAAGGCATGACAGCAGGCCAGGCTGCAGCTGCAACCTGGAAGCAGAGTGAGGCAAGCACTGGTGCTAAGCTTGTTTTTTCTTTTGATTCATAGGGGACCCCACCCCATGCAGCAGTACCGCACCCACGTGAAGGAGGATCTTCCTACCTCATTGAACTAAATTTAGACGCTCCCTCACAGACAAGCCCAGGAGCTTGTCTCCTAGGTGAGTCTAGACTATTCATTTATTCATAAGCATTTTGGGAATTCCAAAGTCAAGAGTGAATAAAGAAGGAGGAGAGGAGACGCTAGGAAGAGGAAAGGTACTGTTCCACCTTTAATTCAACCACTTGCAGGCACAGTGTGGAGTGAATAGATTTTGGCATTGGGCATTGCTGAACTGGATCTTCTCTGTCATCAGCTGTGTGCTCTTGAATAATGGAACCTTTCCACGATTTTTGTCTCAGCAGCCTTACAATGGGGACAATAGCTATACCTCTGGGCATGCACACACATGAGCACCTACACATATAAAAGTGCACATACACTATGCACATGACATAATCTCACAGAAAACATCTTAAGAAAGCATTCTGAAGATTGGATAGCCTATGCAAAGTCTTCAAGCTGTTGCCACTTTAGAATGTGCCTTGGAGGTCACAGATCAACTCCATTTTTGGAAACTAGAGAATATCTCCTGAAGAAATAATATTTGAGCAATGAACAATAGAATGTTTGCTATGGGCTGCTAAGATGGCTTAGCAGATAAAGGTGCCTGATGACCTGGTATGACCCCCCGAAAACACATGATGGAAGGGGAGAAACGATTCCCCAAATCTGTCCTCTGGCATCATGTGCATACCATGGTATGTATGTATGCACTAAATTAAAGAAAAGGCAGCAAGATGGTGGGTGTCTAGTACAGCTGAGCTAGCAGCATGAACAAATGCAAGAAAAATGGGGGCTTAAATTTGGTCCAACCACAGAGAGTATTAAAGGATGCATTAGTAAACAAAGTTGCAATGGCCTGTGTGATATAGAGTTTGGAAAAGTAAATGGAATCAGGATCTTGAAGTCCCAAAAACAGAATGGGTTTGATTTTATGACAGGGAACGACAGTCCCTCCATCTTGTATTCTTGCTAGGGCCATTTCAGGTTTAACTAGAATTTGATCTCTATGATGTAGAATTGAACCATAAATTATCCAACCCTATTCTAGAAACCAAAACTCAAGATGCCGCAGCTAACTTACCTTAGCTCCTGTTAAAATGTCTGCTTGTGCAAACCTCCTCCTACAGCTAACACTTTATCATAGCTTTTGTTTAAACGCCTGTTTGGGCAAACCTTCCCCTCTAGCTAACAGATTATCTTGGCTTCTAGCTTCTGCTAAATTGCTTGTTTGTACAAACCTCCTCCTCCAGCTCCTGAGAGACATAACAGTATGCAGTTTTTCTTCTTCCCTCCCTCCCTCCCTCCCTCCCTCCCTCCCTCCCTCCTCTTCCTCCTCCTCCTCCCCTTCCTTCCTTCCTTCCTTCGTTCCGTCCTTCCTTCCGTCCTTCCTTTCTTTCTTTCTGTCTTTCTTTCTTTCTTTCTTTCTTTCTTGCCTTTAAAAGCCCTTTAGTCTATATGCTCAGGGCTACACTTGGGTCCCTAATAATCTTAGTGTAGTGCCAGCTGGCTGGAACAGACTTTCAGTTGGCTATTAACTGTGTCTGAGTGGTCATCTCTGGTAGGCCCCTTGTAACAATTTCTTTTATTTTGCTGCCCCATGTCCTACTGAATAGAGCTGATTAACCAAATAGTTCCATATGCACTCATGTATGTGTAGGCTAATCCACATTTTTTTTTTCTGACTGGAAATAACCAGTGGAAACTTGTTGGAGAGCTTCTGAAATAGTTGTTTTATAAATGAAACGATAGGACAGGCAGTGGTGGTGCACGCCTTTAATCCCAGCACTTGGGAGGCAGAGGCAGGCGGATTTCTGAGTTCAAGGCCAGTCTGGTCTATAGAGTGAGTTCCGGGACAGCCAAGGCTACACAGAGAAACCCTGTCTCGAAAAAACAAAATAAATAAATAAATGAATGACTGAAACAATAAATCTCCTAGTACCATTTCTTTTGATGTCAAGTGTAGGGATCTCGTAATCATAAGTGTATGGAGCAGAGGACTCTGATACAGTAGAGATAATGAAACAAACTCCCAATAGCCAAGGGCTTCAGATAACTTGGTATCTAAGAAAAGCAAAGCCCTGTGCACTGGCAGCCATACTTTCTAGACTTGGGACACAAATCCCTCCTAACTGATACAATGAGGGATATTTGGATTCTTTAGAATTAAGAAAGCTGGTCATGGTCTTGCATGTCTGTATTCTCAGCATTTCAGAGCTAATAGTAGGAGGACCAGTTAAAGGTCATCAACAGCTACATAGCAAAATTCAAGGCCAGCCTGAGTTTACACGTCCATGTCTCAAAAAAATTTAATTAAAAAATAGTGTTTTCCTCAGGCTGGGCTTCACTTATTTTTGCTTTTCTGAAGTCAGAGCCCACAGTGTTACAGACTAAGACACAATCTGGTATTTGGCTGAGGTCAGCCTAGGACTGTGCAAGTCTATAAATGAGCTGTTACAATTCCATAACAGGGACAGATGGACTAAAGTTCACTTCCATGACTCATCAAAACAGGACTGGGACTAGTCTCTTCGATCTATTTATTGTTTGTTCTACTGTAAAGATTTAATGCTGTGACATTAAATCATGACCCCCCCCAGTGTCAGATTAATGGAATGCCAACATCCATGAAGAGTCGCTAACTGGCTTTTACACACATTCAGTAGGACAGACTGGTGCCTTTTGCCAAGTATAAGGTGATTTTGTCTAACTTTTCTGCAGTTAGGTGGGGATTCTAAGGGCTAATTAAAGGTTGGTCCCAATGTCAGGATTCAAGGTACAGTTTCATTCTCTTATACTTGGATATCTTGGTGGCACACTCCTTTAATAATCTTTTGACAATATTCAGAAGAAATAATTTATTTACCCTTCATAAATAGCAAAACAAATCTCAAGTTTACAAGACCAGTATGGGGTTTATATCTGAAATCTCAGGACTTGGGAAGCAGAAGCAAAAGTAATACAAATGCAAGGCCGGCCTGGGTCACACAATTAAACTTCAGTTCAACCTGGACCACAGAGTGAAAACCATCTCAACCCCCAACCCTCAACAAAGCAACTATAAAAGTCAGGTTATAATTTCGATTTTCTTCTGGAATAGTGCATCTCTCTAAACTGTGTTCAGTTTGGAATTTGGAGTCTCTCTTTGATTCAGTCCGTCTTCTTTAAAAACTGTGGAGAAAAAAGAGCTTGGGCATGGTGGTTTTAGCTGGGAGCCCAGTTCACATACATTCCTTGTAGAGCTCAGGGAATCCACAGCTGTATTGGGCACTTCACACCTGACCTGATTGTCCTCAGCCTTCCTTTGAGCCTAGCACAAAAGTGACTCATTTAAACGTCACTGGCTTCCGAACATTCCCCTAAATTCCATAGTCACCCTTCCCTTCCCTTCATCTGGCAGCCTAAGGCATTATTCCCATCATACCATGGTACTATCTGCATTTTTGTAAATCATGTGTGTGCCCATGGAGGCCAGAGGAGGGTTTGGTATCCCCTGGAGCTGAAGTAACAGACCAGGATGCTGGGGACTAAACTTCAGTCCTCTGTAAGGGCAGCCAAGAGCTCTTAATCATAGAGCCGTTTCTTTGGAACTACTCCCATAGACTTTACACTGAAAGATACCATTTTGACAGGTACTTTAGAGAAACAAGTTTCTCAGTCAGCCTGGGAGCAGTAGTTACCCAAAGGTGCTGGCTCTATTATGGTACTTTCTAGCTGTAATGATCCCTTGGGAGAGAGGTTATTTTCTGTTACCAATCAGTTGGCTTTATCTGTGTATCATTCCAGCTTAATGAATGGCTGGGCAAATTTGTACTTTCTCACTCTGAGCTGACTTACTTTCTCAGTCCCTTTTGGCCAAGAGCCATGAAATTCATCCCCCAGAACATTATTTTGTGAAATCCAGTCAATGGAAGGCCATGTAGACAGCTGGATTGAAATCAAGCTTTCCTGTTCTTTTCCTGGTGAGAGGAACTGTAATTTATGTAACAATGACTGAACAGTAGCATTTATGAGTTAAGATAACACATTTGAACACTGCAACACAGACAAATGTAACATGTTTGTTACAAAGTAAGCTTTGTAGTGCACTTTGAAAAGGAGTCAAGTGTATCTAAATTAAACTCAAACAGGCTGTCTTCTCTTTTTTATTTTGAGGAATCCAGAGGCAGATACCTTATGAGAGTAGTAGGTATATCAACCTAGTTTAAAGAAATTTCCTTATTCCCTATAGAGTACTTGGTGATAAGTGGAATCACCCAGGTAATAGCTACTTGGTAAACTGGCTGGTCTATCGTAAAATGTCTATACTAAAGGAAGTTGGATAGACAGTGAATACAAACTCAATAATTGCTTCTTCCTCTCCTGAGACAGGGTTTCTCTGTGTAGCTCTGGCTGTTCTGGAACTCTCTGTATAGACCAAACTGGCCTCCAACTCACAGAGATCCACCTGCCTCTGCCTCTCAAGTGCTAGGATTAAAAGTGTATTCCACCACCACCGGACTAAGTTGCTTTTTTACATTTGAGACAAATCGCAAACAGATTGCAGTCAGGCGTATTATGGCCATACATATTATCGTAGTTGTATTACAGAGTCTCACTATGCAGCCCTGGCTGGCCTAGAATTCACTAGATAGACCAAGCTATCTTAGAACTTACAAAGATCTGATTGCTTCTTCCTCCCCAGTGCTGGGATTAAAGGCATGTACCATTATGTCTGGCTATAGTTTTGAAGATTTCAACAATTTAATCCTTACCTGGCAAAAAGGAAACATTTCTCGTGTTATGAGTAGATGAAATCTGGCTACATCAGGCTGTGATCTAGCCATCCTGTGCTTTATGGACATCATATAGCCTTTGAGATACCCGAGTCTAAGGAGCAATAACCTGGAATATTAGTCTTGTGCTAGGTAACAGTACCAGGCAATGACCTCCTCAATATACCTAGCAAGATGTCTTCCTATAATTTTTCCCCCAGAGAACAAAGTGTCTGGTTTTCAATTGTGAAGAGGTTTCTTGTCCTCAGTCCTCTTGTCCACTGATCAAAAATTCTCTGTTGAAGAAGGACTGTCCTATGCACTATAGGGTCTTCACAGTGCCATTTGCTTCTACCACCCCACATCCCCATACCTGACAAGGAAAGTGCTTCCAGAGGTTGCCAATGGGTCCTCAGAGAGCAGAGCGGCTGCTGCCAATGCCACTGTGTCAGAGGCTATGCTGAAAAGTCTCTCCTTGGGGCCTGTGAATAAGAGCAAAAGTGATTTGGGCAGTGAGAAGTTGAGTAAAATGTAATCTCTTTTCTTTTCCTTTTCTTTTTTAAAATCAAGATAAGGTCTTATTATGTAGGCCTGGTTAGCCTGGAACTGAATTTAGATCAGGGTGGCCTCCAACTTCCAGAGATCTACCTGTTCTGGGATTAAATGTGTGTATGTACCACCATGCCTTAATTTCTTGAGACAAGGTCCTCCTTTATAGCCCAGTCTAGCCTTAAACATACAAATACTTGGAGACGACCTACAACTTCTTATCCTCCCATCTCTATTTCCCACGTACTGAGATTACAGATATGCACTACCATGCCCAGTTGTTAGGGACTGAAGATAGAGTTTTGTGTATGTTAGGCAAAAACTATCAACTGAGCTCCATGCCCAGACCAAGATGTAGTCTCTTCAAAAATATTTAGCTGTAGATATAGAGAAGTATCACCATTATTGGAAAGAAAAGTCAACATTTTTCAAGTGGGAAAATATTAGTGACTTTTTTGTGCTTTTTTTTTTTTTTGGTTTAGTTTTTCGAGACAGGGTTTCTCTGTGTAGCCCTGGCTGTCCTGGAACTCATTCTGTAGACCAGGCTAGCCTCGAACTCTCGAACTCAGAAATCTGCCTGCCTCTGCCTCCCAAGTGCTGGGATTAAAGGTGTGTGCCATCACCGCCCTTTTTTGCTATTGTTATAGTTGTGTTTTTATTTATTTAGCTTTGCTAATGCTCAGAAAAAATACAGAATGGATAGACATATTTATATGTATAGTTGGGGGGGGTAGCTAAATAAAAATCAGAAAGGAAGTCCCAGGCTTTGATTCCAGTTTCTAGTTCATCTTTACAGTTTGGACTGATTCATGATAGAGGTGGGAAGGGAAGGCACACACATGATAGAGGTTGAAAGGACACCTTTCAACTTTCCCTACCTAACTGCTGGGTTTACAAACTTGTGAATTTGCTGAGTGTGGTGGCACACACCTTCAATCCCAGCACTCAGAAGGCTGAGACAGGAAGAGCTCTGGAAGTTGGAAGCAGCCTGGTTGCCATAGTGAGTTTTAGGTCTTAACAACAATGAAACAAAATAACAAAGAAAACAATCAAGAAGCAGCTAGTCAATTTCTCTGGACCTTGATGATGAGACGAGCAACTCTGGTCAGTACCAGCAGAACAGAAGTAACTGGGAACCTGGGATCCTCTCTTGGGGTAAAACACAATTTATTTACAAGGACAGAAAAAGCACTGGGGAGTAGGAACATGTCACAACAGTGGGGACCTTCATTTTACTTACCTTCATTGCTGCCCCCTCCCCCGCCTGCACGTGCCATGCACGTGTCGTACACATGTCCTGTGGAGACCAAAAGAGTGCACTGGATGCCCTAGAGCTGAAGTTACAGGCAGCTGTGAGCCACTTCATGGGCTCATGCTGGGAATTGAACTCTTGTCCTTTAGAAAAGCAGCAGGCCCTCTTAAGTACTGAGTCATCTCCCTTGCCTCCAGCCCTTCTTGATTTCTATCTTAGAGTATTCTAGCACTGCCTTTCATTGACAAGGTTACTGAAACTTGAAAAGGAAGCAACTTTGTAGACACCTACAATAGCATTGTATGTACTATTAGGAACACATTTCCTTTCAACTGAAGGTCCACAATCGCTGACAAGTATTCAAGTTATTTGATTTATATACCAGTGACCTAGGAAGACTAAATTCCTTTGATTGGTTAGTCTCCCATAGTTTCCTCCTAGCCCCTCCCCACTAAACCTCCGGGCATAAAGAATCCTTACAATAGTTTTGAGTTCAAAGATGAAAAGACTGAAGCAAATCAAACTAGTATTTCTATTTAACTAATCTAATATGCCTTCCTATTTGTTTGTTTATTGTGGTTTTCTGAGACAGAGTTTCTCTGTGTACCTCTGGCTGTTCTGGAACTCCATCTGTAGACTAGGCTGGCCTAACCTCTGTGTAATCCCTGGAGCCTGAGGCAGGGGGATCATTATGAGTTCAGGGCCAGCTGAGTGGAGGTGGAGGATGTTGAGTAAAGGAAGACAGTGGCTGGGCGGTGGTGGCAAGCGCCTTTAATCCCAGCACTAGGGAGGCAGAGGCAGGTGGATTTCTGAGTTCAAGGCCAGCCTTGTCTACAGAGTGAGTTCCAGGACAGCCAGAGCTACACAGAGAAACTCTGTCTCGGAAAAAAAAAAAGGAAGACAGTGGTTGCTACTGTCTTAGTTTTGGTTTTATTGATGTGCAGACACACCATGACCACTGCAACTCTTATAAAAGCAAACACTGAATTGGGGCTGGCTTACAGTTCAGAGGTTTAGTCCATTATCATCATGGTGGGAAACATGGCAGTGTGCAGGCAGACACAGTGCTGGAGAAGGAGCTGAGAGTTCTGCATCTTGATCCACAGGCAGCAAAAGGAGTCTCTATGTCACACTTGAGCACAGGAGACCTCAAAGCCCATCGCTCACAGTATCACACTTCCTCAAACAAGGCCTCAAACAGTGCCACTTCCTATGGCCAAGTACTGAAACACATGAGTCTATGGGGGCCATATCTTTCAAACCACTACACTGCCTTAGGATAAAAAGACTATGCGGCCTTGGAGATAGCAATAACCCAGGTGCCTAAGAAAGGTATATTTCAATTCCTAGCAGGTGTAAGGAGGTGGGGTGTGCGTGTGCCGAATTTAATGTTTTCTTTGTCTCCTAGATCCAGCAACTGTAGTATCACAAAACACCTTGTTTACTGTGTCTGGTAGCACTTGACATAAGCAATGGGACCCTCTCCTCATCCTCTCCTATGAGAGCAGAAAGTTCACAGTGGCATGACTGGATCCAAACTACTTTGTGATGCTGCTAAAGCAGGATAGCACAGCCTTTCAGCTGGGATAATCTCCATGGGACTATGATGACGAAAGCAGGAGTGTGAGTGGCTCACCGGAGCCACTTCCTCATCTGTGCACCAGGACAGCCTCATTTCAATCTGATTGAGAATTAAGGCCTGGAGTTGCTGGGGACGGAGCTCAGGTGCTGGAGTGCTTGCTTAGCAACTACGAAGCACTGGATCCCATCCACTGCAATTCATAAAAATAAATACTTGCTATGATGGTGCAGGCCTGGACTGGGAAATAGAATGATCAAATAGATGTTGAAGGTCATGCATTCTAGGCCAACATATGGAGTTTGAGGCCAGCCTGAGCTACAGGAAAACCTATCTCAAAAGACAAAGTGTGGAGCAGAGACTGAAGGAAAGGCCATCCAGAGACTGCCCTGCCTCGGAATCCATCCCATATACAGTCACTAAACCCAGACACTATGGTGGATGTCAAGGAGTGCTTGCTGACAAGAGCCTGATATAGCTGTCCCCTGAGAGGTTCTTCCAGAGCCTGGCAAATACAGAAGCAGATGCTCACAGCCAACCATTGGACTGAGCACGGGGTCCCCAATGGGGTCTCCAATGGAGGAGTTAGAGAAAAGACTGAAGGAGCTGAAAGGGATTGCAACCCCATAGGAAGAACAATAATATCAACCAACCAGACCCCCCAGAGCTCCCAAGGACTAAACCATCAACCAAGGAGTACACATGGAGGGACCCATGGCTCCAGCCACTTATGTAGTAGAGGATGGCTTTGTGGGGCATCAATGGGAGGAGAGGCCCTTGGTCCTGTGAAGGCCCAGTGTAGGGGAACGCCAGGGCGGGGAGGCGGGAGTGGGTGGGTCGGAAGGACAACACCATCATAGAAGCAGGGGAGGGGGGGATGGAATGGAGGTGGGGGGGAGGCTGGGAAAGGGGACATTTCAAATATAAGTAAAGAAAATACCCACTTAAAGACAAACAAAACAAAACTCAATCAAACCAAAAGTGAAACTAAAACCACCACCACAAAGGAAACAATGGAGGAGCCCCTGGCCCTGGGTCTCAAATCATTTTGCATAGTGGTTTTAGGAGACTTGGCTCAGTCAGGAGACTTGAGGGCACTGGCACTTGGCCATCAGCTAGGCTGTTGATGATGGCTCTGCTGTTTACTGTGCTGAGATTTGCTTGGACCCTTCCTGGAGAGAGGCCCTGTAATCTTTCAGAGCATCTGGAGTCTTGTAAATTTCACTAGTTTCCTGTATATCAGTAGCTTTCTGAGTCTGAGGAAACTTACATCTCTCCAGAACTGAATGTTTCAATTCAAAGGAAATAAATTAAAACAGAACCACAGGTGGGCTACTCGTTAACAAAGAAACAATGAGGCAAGGGAAAAATTTATCTCCTAAGAAAGAATAATTAGATGTTGTCTTGATTCTGTCTTTTTTTTTTTTTTTTTGAGACAGGGTTTCTTTATGTAGCCCTGGCTATTCTGGAACTCCGTAGACCAGGCTGGTCTCTAACTCAGAGCTCTGCCTGCCTTTGTCTCCTGAATACTGGGATTAAAAGCCTGCACCACTACACCTGGCCAATAGTTAAGATCCTAAATGGGGCCTTCTGTTCTTTCAAAAGTGCCTCTTTTTCTTCTTTTATGTTTGCTCATTAGCAACTATCCATTTCTAGGATATTTAATTGTAGCATAGCTAGAAAAATTAATGTTCTAAGCCTAGGATTTTTTGAGATAAGACCCCACTGTGTATCCTTTTTTTTAAAGATTTATTTATTTATTTATTTATTTTATGTGAAGAGAGCATTGGATCCAATTACAGATGGTTGTGAGCCACCATGTGGTTGCTGGGAATTGAACTCATGACCTACTGGAAGAGCAGCTAGTGCTCTTAACCCCTGAGCCATCTCTCCAGCCCCCCCCCACTGTGTATCCTTAACTAGCCTAGAAATCCCTATGTGGACCAGGCTGGCCCTGAGCTCACAGAGCTAGCTCTGCTTATCTTCACGTCCCACCTTAATAGTTAATTTCCTTTTACCCACAAATTGGCGAGACTCTCTCTAGGTAGAACCTTACTACCTAATAAAATACAAAAAGGCAAGGTTTGTGACTGTTTATACAAGAAAACACAATTGAAATCCTATAAACATCATAGAGAACTATAAAGTATTTGAGAAGACTCTATGGATCATCTTATACAACCATCTTTTGTATGTAACACCCAAAATGTCTTAACTGAAGTCAACATTGTTTTCAAAAGAGAGAAAAAAAACTTTCAATAAGACAAGTCAAAAATGAAAAAGAAATGGCCTGATTCTAGCTGACACGAATATATTGCCTGTTCCTCATGAAAATTAAAAAGACAAGCTATGACCTTATATCAGTATGATGGGTATTTTCGGTTGTTAACTTGACTATATCTGGAATGAACTGCAATCCAGAAATGGAAGGCACATCTGTGATCCAGATCTTGAGACTGGAAGATAGAGGCTTCTGACCCAGATCTTATGGGACAACACATGCTTTTGATGCAGAATTGGAGGCATAGTGGCCATGAAAAGTTAGCCTTTAATCCTAGAAGATCGAGGCAAGCAGATCTCTGAGTTCCAAGCCGGCCTAGGACAGAGCAAGTTCCAAAACCAGGCGTGGTGGTACACACATTAAATCTGGGCCACACCTTCTGCTAGAGGCTTACATAAGGACAATGGAGGAAGGCTCTCTCTCTGCCTGCTTGCACTTATTTGCCAGCACATCTGTTGGAACCTACTTCTTCAAAATTCCAGCTTATACAGAAGGCCAGTTGAAACACCTAGCCTCATGGGACTGAGCAACTACTAGATTCCTGAACTTCCCATTCACAGCTGCCCATTGTTGGGTTAGTTTTACTGCAGCCTATAAATCACTACAAGAAATTCCCTTAATATATAGAGACATTCCATAAGTTCTGTGACTGTAGACAACCTTGACTAATGCAGTCTTCTAGAATGGCTATGAACAAAAAGAACAAAAATGATGAAGATGGTGAGCAAAAAGAACCCTTGTATACTGTTGGTAAGAATTCAAAATTCCTACAGCCATTTTGGAAAACAGCATAAAGGACCTAAAATTATAAAGAGATTACTAAATGAGACAGCAATTAAATTTTCTGGGTATACATTAAAAGAAAATGAAATTACTATTCCACAGAGATATCTGCACTGCTATCTTTTTTTTCTTTTCATTTTGGGACATGGTTCTCTGTGTAGCTTTAGCTGTCGTGGAACTTAAGAGATCTGACTGCCTCTGCCTCCTGAGTGCTGGGATTAAAGGCGTGTGCCACCACCACCCGGCTAATACTTCTTATTTTTGAGACAAGGTCTCATATAATCCACATTGGTCTTGAACTCACTAGGGTGTTGAGAGTATCTTTCGCTCCTGGTCTTCCTGCCTCTTAATTCCAAAGTGATTCGACTACAACAGTACATTGGACAAATATAGCATCATCCATAATAGCCAAGATACAGAAATCACCCGTGTTTATCAATGGAGAGAAATCAAATGGATAGAAAAGATGTAGCTGAGTGGCAGAGAGTGCTAGGCATAGTACTATCGAGGTCCTATGCTTGATTGCCAGCACACCCACAAAAAAATGTGTCAGTGTTCTAGCATTCAGGAGGGAGGCAGGAGGAATTTAGCTTAGGGTCAGTTTGAGTTATACTGTGAGACTTTAGACATGTGTACTGTATATCATACACAATGAAATGTCACCTGCAACAACATGGATGGATCAAGAGGACATTATATATAGTCAAATAAGGCAGGCACACAAAGCCAGTATCTCTTCTCACTTTAAGTGGAATCTTAACAAGTCCAATTTATCAAAGCAACAGTAAATAATTTTTATCAGAGGCTATCAGAGGCTGAGGGCAAAGAAAAGGGAAATGTTTCCCAAAAGATACAATGTTTCAGTTAGGCAGCAATGTGTTATAAGGTGATGTTAGTTGATGTTAGTTAATATCTCAGATACAGAATAACAGCTCTTATATAGATAAGAGTGGATTTTAATTGGACATGGTGTGCACACCTATAACCCCAGCTACTTGGGAGACTGAGGCAGGGGATCACAAGTTATCAGTCTAATTTAAGTAGCAAGTCCCAGGTAAGCCTATGTCATTTAAGGAGGACCCAAGTCAACAAGAAATAGCTGGGGATATAAAGGCAGAATGTTTGCCTACTACAGGCAAGGATTTGGTTGGGTTCAATCCTTAGTTCTGCCAAAAGGCAGTGTGGTACAGCAGGAGGTGGTGGTATGGTAGCTGTCACCACAAAGAATACAGTATGAAAGGTGATCAAAATTAAGGAGTCTGACTTGTTCATTTGGGAGTGTATTCATGCACTATATCTCATAAACATATGCAATTTAACACTCTACCCCATAAATACACGATTTATCAATCTGAAAAATGGGTGAGGTAGTGCAGGAGCTTGTGATCCCAACTACTTTGAGCTCAAGAGCCAAAAAGGCCAGCCCAGACAGCACAGTGAGACCAAGAATCAAGAGCACTGCAATTGTACAAGTGGAGAACAAAGAGAATTGTCTAACCTTAGGATCAGCTTGAGCATCTGTTACACCTGCGAGAGATGAAGCTGCAAAACGATGTTTAGGTAGGGTCACAAAAATAGACGCTTTTAACAGTGAATTTCTCCGTGAATTGTGCGTGAGAATCGCTAGGCTACTAAACAAAAAATAAAAATAAACGCACACACAAAAAATCTCGAAGCCCAGACATCACGAAATTGCTTCCGAATCTATGGAGGTGGATGGAACTCATAGACATTCTTAAAGGCTTGCAGTTGATTTCAAACGGAAGCCAAGATTAGAAAACAGACGAAACGTGGATTTTTGGAGAAAGAGGCAGTAGGGAAAGATGAAAACCCAGGCAGGACAGGGCGGCTACTGCAAGGCCAGGGACAAAAGCCAAGAGTACCAGCAAAGGATTTAAGGACTACATGTGTTTCAATGATGGGCTTTGGGTGACAGCCTAGGCGCGGCACACAGAAGACCGCACTCAAATGACGTTATTGTGCCGTTGCTCCTGTCCCACAATTTAAAAAAAAAAAAGAAATTAAGAAAGAAAAAAGACTGTAACGTTTTCTCCCACGCGTCGCGCCAGAGTCGCCTACGGGGAGAGCGCCCGTTGGACGGTCACAACGCGCGGTCACCACAGGCCTCCTTTTGAGGCCCCAAGAGGGGAGACGGGAGGCTTCTCCGCCAACCCTCCTCCGTTCACCGTCCCGAAGTGGTCGCCTAGGCGGGGGAAAAGGAGCGCTTAGGGGCTGCTGACGTTACTGTGACGCGGCTGCTGGACTGGCGGCGCGGCTTCCGGCGCCGCGCGCCCACCACCACCCCCTTTCCGCTTTCCCGCCCACGCACCGCCTGGCTCCGCCCCGCTCCCACGCACCCCCTCCTCCTGCCCCCCAGAACAGCACAGCGCGGAGAACGGTCGCAGGTTGCCTTTGGAAAGGGCCTCCCGCGGGTTCCCCTTCCGTCCTGCCTCGCGACTTCCGCTCTCGGCCCAGCAACATGGATGCTGCAACCCGCCGGCCGGGCGGCCGCTAAGCAGTCGCGGAAGCTTCTCCCCTTGAGTGGCGGCCGGCCCGCCTCTCTGCCCTCCCGCCCCGCGCTCGCCTCCCTGCGGCCGGCCGGCCCGGCCCTACATGGGGGCGGGCCTCTGCATCCTGGGCTCGGCTTCCTGTTCAGAGGCGGCCTGGCGCTAGGCGGCGGCCACTCTGCCCGCGCCCGCCTCGGTGCGGTCACCGAGCCCGGGAGGACGCTCCAGGGCCGCATCCCAGGCGGTTGCCCCGAGCCGGGCTGTGCGCCGCCATGGCCCCAGTGCAGCTGGAGAACCACCAGCTGATCCCTCCTGGCGGCGGCGGTGGCAGTGGTGGCGGCGGAGGCAGCAGCAGCGGCTCCGCGTCTGCCCCGGCTCCTCCGCCGCCCGGGGCCGCCGTGGCGGCGGCAGCTGCGGCTGCAGCTAGCCCGGGATACCGGCTTAGCACGCTCATCGAATTTCTGCTGCACCGGGCCTACTCGGAGCTTATGGTGTTGACGGACTTGTAAGTGCTGCGAACCCATGCCTGCTTCCCGGCTCCCCAGTTGCCCTTCCCGCCTTTGATAGAGGCTTATGCCTGCGGTTTACTGAGCTAGGCTGCTGAGCGTAGAATTTTGAAATTCATGGGGTTTAGGTTCTGGGAACAGGGAGGAGGTAGCTATTGGGGATCTGGTTGACGATGAAAGCACGGAGACTGGTTAGTTTCGCGTGTTAACACTTGCACTAAAGATGGTCTTTGGGATTTTTGTCTTGAGTTCCCAGCAGAACTGTATTGATTTCTATGTGGAATCTTTTTAAAAACCTAAGATGAAGAGTAAGCATTGAGGACTACGTAGAATTCGAACTGAACGGGATTTTCAAAGAAGGGAAATGTTTTACAGCCTTTTGACAATATGTCTTAAATAAAGGATGCAATTGTTTCGCTTTGAATGCTGGAGGTAGATGCTGTGTAAAATAATTAATTATGAATTCTGAGTCTTTCTGCAACAATTTGAAAGCGTGCTAAGTATGGATGTAGTGAAAGTAGAATATGTTTTTCTAATGAGCCTCCGGATTTCAGTCGTCTAGTTACCTATGAAATGCCTTGGGGCGTGATTAGGATGTTAATGCCTTCAGAGTACAAGCCGACTACACGGTTGGTTCAGTGTGGGAATAAAAGGTATTAGGAAATTGTGGGACTATTGCATCTTCTAGCTGAGGTTCATAAAAGTTTTCACCTTTTACCTATTGTTAGGTTCCGTCAGGTTTCCAGGGAAATACATTATTATGCAGATGCTAGGATGTATTTTGTGATACTTTGTTACTGGAGAATTAAGTATTTGTTTGTACATGACTAAAGGAATTAGGGACGGCTTCACTTACTCTTGTATGACATTGCCTTTTAGTTTTGATGGACTTTATTTTATTGAATGAGACCAAGCTTAGCCTTGTCAATAGAGGTGGTGGTATTATTGCTATTATCTTTACTATTGAGACGGGTTCTTCTTGTATAGTCAGGCTGGCCTCTAACCTTCAGTTTTGGCTCAGCTTCTTTAGTGTTGGGATTACAAGTATGAGCCACCACACCTGGATTAGGTTTGTTTTTAACACAGGATTCCCGCATCTGCCAAGAGCTGGGATTACAGGTGTGTGCGCATCCCCCACCCCCAACGGCTTCTGACTGAGAGAAATCTGCCAAGCTTAGGAGTTCTTGTAGTAATGTTTGTATATTGCATGTGTTCATAAGAATTCAAGAGAAAGTTTAATATATGTCCTGTGCATCGCTGTGGTGAAAAGACTCGTGGATCGTGGATCATGTGATTGGTTTTCTGTAAAGAATTTGTAGCAATTTATTGAATTGTGTTCTATTTTTAATTTTAGGATTTAGTTTATGGAGAGGAATCTGTTTTATTGATGTAGAATAATAGTCAAGCAGACCTCAGCCGACTTACACATTCTGTGTCCAGATCCATACAGCTCAGTACCTAACCCAGGAGCTGTGTTCAGTGAGATAGATGAGATTTGTGGCTTCAGTGTTTGGGAAGCTGAAGCAAGAGGATCACAAGCTGTAGGCCAGAATCAAAGTGAGGCTCTATTTCAAAAAAGATTCCACAGCCAAACATGACGGTGCATGGCTTTAATCCCTGCAGAGGCCCCAAGTACATGCCAGTCTTAAGTTTGAGGGTAGCCTGGTCTATATATAGCCAATTCTAGGACATTGAGGGCTACATAGTAAGACCCTGTCTCAGACCAACCACCACTACCATCCCCATCCAGAAAAACCTCACACACACACAAACTTACAACAGTAAAATACACAGAAAAAAGTTTTTAGAATGACTTCTCTATTAGAGTGGCCATAAAATTTGTGGTCTAAACCAGGATACCTTTGAACATGGGGAAAACGTAATAAATATAGTAGTGTATACCTGTAGACCTAGCACTTCAGAGATGAAAGCAAGAGCATTAGAAATTAAAGAACAGCTTGTAGGGAACATAAGAAGTTTGATGTCAGTTTGGGCTGGCTGGTATTATGTTTCAGAAATAATAGTAATAGTAATAATACACATTGGGTAGGGAGTGTAGCCTAGTGGTACAGCACTTGCTAGGTTCTGGCTCTAGCTCCTCAAGCATTACACATTAAAAAAAAAAAAAAACAAAAACAGAACAGCAAGCCTATGCTGTATCAACCAGGACATGGCTATTTCGTTTTTACCTCTAAGGCCTTGAGAACTGTGCCTTAACTACTTTCCCTCTTTAATTCATATGCTAATTGTCTCTTTCTGTTCCACCTACCTACCCTAACCTTGATGTTTCTTGATAGCTCTTCACACAATGTACAATTGGATAATGCCTTTGTTCTTTTTCCAGAAATAGTGCAGTTTTCCTTCTCCGTTTCCTTTAGGTCTTAGCTCACATATAACTTGGATCAAAGACTTTCTCCTTCTTTGGTGTTTTTTTCCCCCTACAATGTTTACTGCTTGAGATATCATTAATATATTGTGCCTTCCCTATGGGACACGAATTTTGATTTGTTTTGCTTTTTCACATGATAGGACCAATGTCTAGCATGTAGTTGGGGGCATTTATTTAGTACATGAATGAATGAATGAATTTGTGAATTCTTTAAACCATTGATAATTATGGGAAACGCAAGTGTTCTTGGTACTTAAAACAACAAAAACAACAACCAAAAAACACTTTCCATTTATGTGTCAACTAAGACGACATGGTTTTGAGATAGTCTTGCTCTTCTGTAGCTCAGATTGGCAAAGAACTTTGTATTCTTTTCTGTCAGCATATTTAGGTGATTCAGTTTGAGCCCCAAATTTCTAGATTTTTTTTTTCTTATACCTGTTCACCTCCAACATATACTGATACTTTCTGCCTTAACGTTTTAGGGACGTATATTCTATTCTTTTTTTTTCTTTCTTTTTTCTTTTTTTAAAAAAGATTCATTTATTTTATGATGTGAGCACACTGTCAAGGGCATTGAATCCCATTACAGATGGTTGTGAGCCACCATGTGGTTGCTGGGAATTGAACTCAGGACCTCTGGAAGAGCAGTCAGTGCTCTTAACCACTGAGCCATCTCTCCAGCCCTATTCTTTGTTTTTTTTTTTAACCTCTTTTTTGCTTGTTTGTTTGGTTGGTTTCATTTTATTTGTTTTTGTTTTGTTTCTTGAGTCGGGATTTTTCTCTCTGGCTGTTCTGGACTCGAATTGTCGACCAGGCTGACCTCCCAAGTCACAGAGATCCTGTCTGCCTCTGTCTAACAAGGGCTGGGATTAAAGGTGTGAGCCACCACACCCGGCTGGCTGCCTTTTAACCTCTTAAGATTAGAAAATGAACATAAACTTTACTAAAGTGTGTCACAAATATTCTTGCTCTGTGCTTTTTTTCTTTCATCATTTGCATCTAAGCTTTTTCTCTATGTGGATTTTCATAAAGGAATTCAAAATAGAAGTGGGAGCATTGGGAGAAAAGGGAGGCAGGTAGTAAGTACTATTCTTTGTCTTGGAAATGCAGACTTTCTGGTGGGAGCTGATCCTTTAGGGTCTCTGGGGGCAGGTAGGAGCTGGGAGAATGGTTTCTGCCTTCCTAGTCTATCCCTAAGCTCTACAGTACCCCATCCCCCAGTCCTCACTTTTTTCTCTCTTGAGACCAAGGCTTCTCTGGGAGTACTCAGGAGCTTTTTTCATGTAGAGGAACTTTCCAGGGGCTGCTTTTATTTGCAGTCTTTGAGACAGGGTCTTACTTAGTATCCTAGGCTTGCCTTGAGGCAGTCCTCTTGTCTCAGCCTTCCAAGTGCTTGTGATCACAGGTGTATGAGGTACCCTGTCTGGTTCTTATTTGTAGCCTTATGATAGGCCCTTAATTTCTACTTGGTTTTGTGATATACTAGCCTTTCCAACTTCTGGAAGGTTTAAACTTTCCCCTGCACTGGATCCCCCTGGGCTTGGTGTTCATCAGTGTCCTAAACCCCACCTCTCCCCTAGGAATTGAACCTTGGAATGTGCTATGCAGGTGCTTTTACCACTGACTTGTATATACCCCAGCTCCCTACTTAGATCCTCTGTCACTCTGATCATACCTGTAGCTTCCATCCACCCCAGTGTCTTCCCTGAGACTAAGACAGCTCACTTTAGTACTTTCCTATCCTTGTACTCTGTCCCGTTTGCCGTGCCGAACATTGGGTGGATGTGT